GGATGGGACTCAACCGAAAAAGTACTAGAATTTGTACTTTACTAGGAAAGTGAAATTCCAAATATAACATATGTTACATTTGACCACTTTCTAAAATGGCATTGTGTAATCATTGTAAAAAACCCAGACAATCAAGTGATGAACTCGAAACTCAAGTGATGCTATTACTATTACGGATGTCCCTGTGTCAATGCCTGTGTGTTTTATGTGTGGCAATTGGTACGTGTACAGAACAAACTGGAAAAAACTTTGTTTAAATCAGGTAAGTCATAATTGCAGTAACTTTGTAAAATACTGATATAGGCAGGCAATAAATAACAGATACTGCATGCGAACAAATCATTGGTTGTATCATGCTTGAGTGGCATTTAGTAGTTGGGACGTACAATATTGAACAAACATTGTGGATAACAACTTCTTTTATTTTGTGAGTGAGATGTTTCGATACAGATTTGTGTACTGTTGTCAGTGGTACATGAATGTCCTGTTTGACAATGGTACAAGAATCGAAATGAAATAAAATGTTACGTTACATCAGTAACAGTAGTACATTACTCCTTTTGAACAGGATTTGTCACATTAGGTTTGTGAAATTATCTCCCTTTGATTATGTCCGTCAAAGGCATATTTTTTATACCGGTCTTATTTAACGTCAGGGGTTTAGAGTTATCGCGCTTGGCAAGCAAGAGGCTCCGGCCATGCTTTATGGGCAGTAAAATGGAAAATTAGGAAATAATAAGTCATCCGATTGCATCGGAACATATAGGACAACTAAGATGTAAGTACTCTTCATTTCTTACGTCTAGAGTATTGTTATTCTACTTTTATGTACCTGTTAGGGCAAATTTAGTGTAAATTAAAGTGATTTCATCTATCGGTAAAATAGCACAGGTTTTGGTCACATGCTTTATCTACATATAGGCTCGATTGCATTAATTTCCGTACATTTAATTTGAATTTGTTTATTTTCACTCTGTAAAGTGTATCTGTCAGGAAAGATACATGTAGTAAATTTGTGTGTATGTTTTACCTAGCCTAAAATTGAGATAAGTTTGATGTAAGAAACCCTTTGAACTTCGTCAACTTATGCTATTGTAAAAGGTTTGTAATTAGGATATATTTCACCTTTCAACCTGTATCAATTACTGTAGTCTTATTTTGTATATTATCCTATCTGCTTCATGTTATAAGGTACAGTTACTTTGAAATAGGACATAGGATTTATGGAACTCCATTGTAATTCAGGCCTTTGTTTTGTTTACAGCTTTTTACTATATATAAGCGATCAGTGTAATTTCAATCTAAGGACTGAATAAATACGACACTGACAAGCAGTTTGCGTTGAAGTCAATACACCAGAGCGCAGACAGCACATAAAATAAGTTGTTATCCATAACATTCATGTTCAATATTGGTTGTATAAGTCTTGTTAAGAGACTGTCAGTGTTTCACATTATCAGAACCATCAACATTATCATATATGACAAATCTAAAGTAAACATATGGAAACCAACTGATTATGTTAACAATGCACTTTGTAGGGTGGCAGGTATGTTGAATAACCTCAAGACTCTACTGAAATTGACAATTACACTGTTGCCTAGATTGAAAAAGGGCCTAGATTTTCGAAGCTATCTTAGACAGTCGTAAGTGCCATACATTAACATTAACTTACGACTATCTTAGCGCTTAGAGAGTTTAAAAAATCTAGGCCCTGGTGTGTATAGAAAATATCATAACTATTTGATCACATCATCATATTTGCATGCTTTGTATAACTTTCATTGCTGTTTTGCCTTTCCAATGGATTCCAATATAATCAAGACTGATATTCTCTGACCCTGATTTTTTCAATAATATAATGTAGTCGGAATTGTAAAATGGACTTGCTTTTTGAAGAAATTTCTTATGATAATGAAACAAATTTTGTCAGTTATGTTTTCAAATTAAATGTCAACTGAAGGCTGTGCATGCAGACTGAATGATAATTTGTCTGAGTAGTATTAAAGATAAAAACATCTTTAGCGATCCAACTGATTAAAACATACTTCTTGTGTCAATGGTATGATGGACTAAATAACTTCTTGATGATCTTTGTTTTGAATGTGTCTGGCTGATTTTGTATATTTTGCATTGTGTATGTAAAACCTGTTCTTTCTTTCTAAGAAGCAGTTTTCCTAAATAGATAAGCTATACATGTTGCATTACCTTTGACTATCAGTATTGTCATAATACAGAAACCTGTTGATTCCCCCAAAATCCAGATTCCATTTCAGTATTCAAAGATTCTTCACATCTGCAAGTTCAGGAAACACAATGGAGATGATCAATTTTTTGTTCAGTAATTCTTCAGTGAATGCTTGATGAAGAAACCCTGAACTGGTCCAGGAATGATATCCTTTGAAATGTCTCATTTTCAGAGATTGGAATACATGACTCACTAGAGGAAGAGACCAATTTGCATCAGGATTGCTTTGACTTTTTATGTTTCAATCTTTGGGGGTTAAGCAGAAATTACCAGTGTTGGCTGCAGCAGATTGCGACTGTCCATATGTTCTCATTAGAATCCTGTATTTCCTGCTCCAGACACATTCTATTGTCATAGCATACCTAACTCAGAACACAGGTCCTCCAATCTTCACTACACTACAAATCTCGTCTTTATCAATGGAAGCTTTAAATCTGTCAGAATATTCTCAGGAACTTGTATCTCCAAAGTGTTTTTGTAGACCCCACCAGGGTTCCAGACATTGGTTGCAGACATTGTGTGTCGGCAAACTAGAAGAATTGCTAACAACCTCCTGGTAACCACCTTGATAAAAAACCTAAACATCACTTAATCAGCATCCTTCAAGGAGTTTTGTCTCTAAGGACCCAGCTGGTTTATCATGTTGCAAAGGGTCTCAGCATTAGGATTTGCTAAGACAAGGATTCGTATCATTTGTTGTGGGTTAGAATTGGTCTAACGGGATCATGTGTTCATGGCTACTGACTTGGTTGATGCTTATTGTATCCCATTTGCATAGATCAGCTCATGCTGTCAATCACTTGCTTGTCTAGTCCACACTGAATTATTTACAGACTGCCGTCAGATAGATGGAATATTTCTGATTATGGCTTTAAACATTAAACAAACCAGCAAGTCGTATCATTTATCCATGTTCTGTAATGTATTTTCATAATGTGGGGTAGCCTAGTGGTTAAAGCGTTCAATTCCCCACATGGATACAATGTGTGAAGCCCATTTCTGGTGTCCCCCGCTGTGATATTGCTGGAATATTGCTAAAAAGCAGCATAAAACCAAACCCACTCACTCACTCACAAACTCATAATGTTGCATGATCTGACTATTTCTTGATTGCAACTTAATGTTTCTTGTTTCTAGGAAAATACAAGGTCCCTCATCCTCGTAACATACTAAAGGATATAACAAACTGATATATATCCTTCACATTTGTATGTGTAATTCAAAATATATATAATAAACTACAGTTAAAACCAACTCAAAGTCTGTTTGTGTTACCTTATATAAATATTGTTGCCAATGACCAAAAGAAGTCTGGAATTATTTGTAGATGTATATCTCATATCTCAAATCATACAACCACACTGTTTTTTCAAGACAAAATATCTATGTATTCAGTGTTATGACAAAATTGTGAAATTCATGAAAACATATTCTGAACTTAAAACCTGGTTTGGTATTTATATAAAATTATGTATCCAGTCTTCACTACAAACAAATTTAGATTGTTTTGTTCAGTATATCTTGGATAATAATAAAGATTAACTGATCTTTTGAAAACATATGCACAAGATGTTTTGTTGTTTGGCTGCATTTCACATACATGTTTTCATTTAATTGTAGACCCGTGAAGGTCCGGGTTAGAACTGATCTTCAGTAACCCATGCTTGTCAGGATCGGGCGGTCAGGCTCGCTGACTGGGTTGACAAATGTCATCGTATCCCAGTTATGTAGATCGATGTTCATGATGTTGATCCCTGGATTGTCTGGTATAGACTCGATTATTTACAGACCGCCATTATATAGCTGGAATATTGCTGAGTGCAGTATAAAACTAAACTCACTCATCATTTAATTGTTGCAGGGTTCATTGAACTGGAAGTTGTCATCAGTCTTGCCAGCTTGTCAATAAAACATATTAAATTATATAAAACATTACGAATGCTGTGTGAAAATTACGAATATTTGTTTATGGATGTTTTATTAGTCCTGTGAGATTTCTTAACTGTCCATGTCTTCACGTCAAGTAAAGAATTAATAAAGTTAGTAAAAATTAGCCTTTCAGGAATATCTTGGGGTTAGTTAATTTCCACGTCAGGGAAATCATCTGTGTCTAATTTTGGTTGAATGTCATTTTTACCATCTTTATGTAAGAACGTGAACAAAGGACTTTGCAATCTTCAAGTCATAAGAAACTTGTTGATGATGAGATTGTAATTAGAAGTATAGATTTTCAACAGCGACGCAAAAATGTACAACCATGTACAACAATTGTAATTTGATACACAAATATTTTTTAAGAAATGGAACTGATTAAAACTTCAAACAGCTGCAAGGATTTAAAAAGTTTGCATGTTAACATCACAGGATAATTTAATTTTCTGTATGAACCTTAAATTCACCTCATTTATGTTGTTGCCAGCATGGAAAAATGACACATGTTGCACATTTCTAAATGTTTGATTTATCTTAAACATCTCATTGGAAACTATTGGTTTTATTGATTTGTTTGCTTTGTTTGTTTGTTGTCTACCGTCGCACCAGTATTCCAGCTATATGCAATGTATAAAATAGGCCAAAAGTCCAGCCAGACATCAGGGCCGGTAACTTCAAAATGTTACCAGCCCAAAGTTGAGTTGAGTTGGGCTTTACGTCACATCGGCATTACTCCAGCCATATAGTGACGAGAACAAGTCAGCCCCAAATGGATTTAACCAGACCAAATATGGTGAATTATGTATGGAACATATAAAATTTGCTAGCTGTAAATTTGGACCGTCCGTCAGAAATCTAGACTGTCTCGGGCGGTCGGACGGGCCTTATTTCATACACTGCTATATGGTGTCTGTCTGTAAATAATTAAGTTGGGATCAGACAATTCAGTGATCAACAGCATGAACATCAATTAATGCAGTTGTCATATGATGACATATCAGCGTGTCTGACCATTTGATGTCGTTAGCCGCCTCTTATAGCAAGCAGGGTTGGGAATAATGGAACCAATGAATCTAAAACATTCCAAGTAAGACTCTCTCTTCATTGTGTCTCTGAAGTTTGCCCAGGTAGAAGATCCTTTTCTAGACAAGAACTCTGACATTTGTGCATGTTTTAATGCATTTGTCCATGTGTGGTATGATAGGCAGTGGACATTAAATAGCCATGTTAATTGTTGATGCCATTTTGACCTTTAAGCATTGATAACCACTTTAAAGTTGTGATAACACTAAATGGTTACTCATTTAGAATCTGGGTTATGAGACAGCAGGATCCATTAGACCTTGGCAGCCACTAGATATCCTCAGGTTTGTTATTTCACATTTCAAGATCACAAAATGACCCTGCCTCGGTACCCATGAAGATCCGGTTATAAATGATCTTCAGTAACCCATGCTTGTTGTAAGAAGCCACTAATGGGATTGGGTGGTCAGGCTTGCTGACTTGGTTGACACATGTCATCGTATCCCAATTGCACAGATAGATGCTCATGCTGTTGATCACTGGATTGTCTGGTCCAGACTCAATTATTTACAGACTACTGCCATATTGCAGGAATATTGGCGACTGCGGTGTTACACAACACACCAAACAACCAACCATGCCACACTAGAGTGGTGTTGGTAGCCACAGAGACACTTGTCTTATGCAATGATTGATTTGTATTGTATGTTTGAAAGTTCATTCTGAATTTTTTACAATATTTGTAAAACAATGTCAAATGTGCTGTAAAACACATGCTCACTAGATGACACAGTAGCACAGGGTCTACAAGATTTCTCATCCCAGAGACGTTCCAACCATGAAGGAAGTGTCTGCATCATGATCATGTGATTATGTACTGATTCAAGGACAAAATGGCTTCTGTCAAATTCATTACCGACTGACATAGATATGTAGATGTATTAGTATTTACATATATCTATGGTGACATCTTGTTTTGTATGTGAAATATATATTCCCCTGATTACCAGCTGCTGACTGAATATGATGTAGGGGGAATGGAGATGGGTAATGATATGTCTGACTTGGTGGTTTGTTGTGTGGCATGCAATAGCAACAGTCAGAATCCCAGAATATATAGAGAATCTCACCCAAGTGACTTTTGATATCAAATATATCACCGCGAGTTGATATTTTTACTTTTATCAACGAGTGGTTGATATATTTGATATCAGGAGACACGAGGGTGAGATTCTATTTATCATCAAAAATCATTCTTCGTTAGTTTTCAATGAAAAATGTACATCTCTGAACACAGTACTGCCATTAGACTTGCAGTGCACCGATGTCATAGCGTTGTGACGTCATCAAGTTCATGACATCATAGCATTGTTAGGGTATTGAACAAAATCTACTGTCAAAATTACATCTCTAAGGAGATATCGTTTGATCTCACACAAGTGGTATCTCCTGTGGAACACTGTTTTGGATGATAAAGACTTTTAATCCAACATATTCAATTTTTCAGGTCTTTGAATGGCATTCAGAAGGGAAAGATTGCAGAATACCGGATACCTTCTGCCATCTTTGAAAACTTTAGAACTGTGCATTAAATGTGCGCAACTTGACTCGAGTTTTTAGTACTTTGTTATCTTAGTGTACTGACGTTTTTTAGCCCTTGGATACCCGTTACTATCTTCTTTAGGGTTAGTTTAATGAATATTGTTAGGGTTAGAGTTAGGGTTGGGTTGGGTTGGGTTGGGTTTAGGGTTAGGGTTAGGGTTGGGTTGGGTTGGGTTGCTTTCCCACACTCATTCGGCTCCAACTTCCAGAATTCCGTAGGTCAGATTTTTCAAACCTGCACATATATTTCAAAATCGTTGGTTAGTTTAACTAACCGGAAGTCATCCCAAATAATCAGAATTTTATGGTTATTTTTTATTTTGATGCTCTAATTTTATAGCTTGTGCTTTCCTATAATAGAAGTGCACATGACACTAAACAATATGGCTGGTAGGTATTCTGTAACTGTACCTTCAGAAGTGATACACAATGTTTTGTGGCATATCCCCACTCCTTCATTCAACAGATGAATGTAGTAAGGTTATACACCAAAATGTTGTGCTCCTCATATTAAAGATGTTGACATCAATAAAACTCTCTTCATCATATTCTATCTTTGCAACAATTACTGTTTTAAAATGTATATCTATTGTAAAACAAATCTTAAACCAAATTGTTAAAATATTGTAATAGGAACATCAACATGAAAGACTGGCTGACATTAGATGACACATGTAAACTGATTCATGAGAATTAGCTATTGATGTATCAATAGTCACAAGGAACATCTGCTCTACAGACAGTAGAACACAATATGTTCTGTGTGACCCTGGGAATATATGTCACCATGACACAGCTAACTAGGACTGCAGACAATACTGACTGTCCCTCATCCAAACAGTTTTACAGACCTGTCTCATAGCTGTTTGTCAGTAATTATGTCAGTGACAATGTTGAGTGGTAGGCATAGTCTAGAATTGGTATGTAAGTGATGTGGCAGTCACCATCTCTCGGCATCTACTCTCTCAGAAACACATGACAACACAGGGCCTGGTTTTGTGAAGCGTTCTTAGTGCTAGGACTGTCACATGTCTGTATTACACAAAGATTGTTTTGTGAAACTTCAGCCAACCAACCCAATCATCCCTACCATCCCAATAATCTCTTGGACCAACCACCCAAACACTCCTTCAACCAACTACCAAATCACACCTTCAGCCAACCAACCCAATCATCCCTACCATCCCAATCATCTCTTGGACCAACCACCCAAACAACCCTTCAACCAACTACCAAATCACACCAACCAACCAACTAACCAATCAATCCCTACCATCCCTACCATCCCAATCATCTCTTGGACCAACCACCCAAACACCCCTTCAACCAACTACCAAATCACACCTTCAACCAACCAACCCAATCATCCCTACCATCCCAATCATCTCTTGGACCAACCACCCAAACACCCTTCAACCAACTACCAAATCACACCTTCAACCAACCAACCCAATCATCCCTACCATCCCAATCATCTCTTCAACCAACCAAACACCCCTTCAACCAACTACCAAATCACACCTTCAACCAACCAACCCAATCATCCCTACCATCCCAATCATCTCTTGGACCAACCACCCAAACACCCTTCAACCAACTACCAAATCACACCTTCAACCAACCAACCCAATCATCCCTACCATCCCAATCATCTCTTGGACCAACCACCCAAACACCCCTTCAACCAACTACCAAATCACACCTTCAACCAACCAACCCAATCATCCCTACCATCCCAATCATCTCTTGGACCAACCACCCAAACACCCCTTCAACCAACTACCAAATCACACCTTCAACCAACCAACCAAATCATCCCTACCATCCCAATCATCTCTTGGACCAACCACCCAAACACCCTTCAACCAACTACCAAATCACACCTTCAACCAACCAACCAAATCATCCCTACCATCCCAATCATCTCTTGGACCAACCACCCAAACACCCCTTCAACCAACTACCAAATCACACCTTCAACCAACCAACCCAATCATCCCTACCATCCCAATCATCTCTTGGACCAACCACCCAAACACCCCTTCAACCAACTACCAAATCACACCTTCAACCAACCAACCCAATCATCCCTACCATCCCAATCATCTCTTGGACCAACCAACCAAACATCCTTTCAACCAACAACCCAACCATCCCTTTGGACCAAGCACCCATCCTCCCTTCAACCACTCCTCAGAACAACAACCCAATCAATCAAAATACTCACCCACCCATCAAACAACCAACCACCCACTCAAACAACCATCCACTAAAACAACCACCCACACAAACAACCACCCACTCAAACAACCACCCACTGACTGGAGTAAAGTACATGTCCCTCCAGCCATTCAACTGTAAGATAACAGGTGTCACTTCTCTAGACGTGTCTATTTGGTGAAGAGTCTCATGGTAATGGACATATATTGACATCATTTAATGGCCAGAGTGAATAAGGGGTACCAAGAGTATTCCTGATAAAGGTTATTTGATCCAATATGTACAGATGTTTCAGGATATAATGTATCCCATATCAGCACCTATCCCTCCAATGGAGATAGAATGACATGTTTGCATTCCTTATCTGCAGTCTTGGATAATTTCCTTCACTCTTTCACTGTTTCACATATCTGCGATAACGGAATCATGTAATGAATTATAAACTATGGGCTTTTCCCATTATGAAATTTGTTGATGCGTTGTCTAACATGGGTCAATTTCCAGAAATTTGCATCGCCAGAGTTGTGCTAGATTTGTGAAGTCCCCCGATGAGTCTGGTCCTTTGATTCCGTTACATCAGTGTATTTGACAAATGGCTCAGCAATCATATGGAATGGAATGGTTAAGATGACAAACACTGTAATGTAATTGTTCAGGTCACAGGAGACAGTTCAGACTAAAACCTTTTAGGAGTGGAATGTTTCTGAGATATGGATGACTTCATAAATGACAAGCTGATAGAACCATATTTTCTTTTGAAATTGCACACATTTTTTACATGGTGGGTGTAATTAATCACCTTGTTTTTGCATGTCAAATAGGTGACGAATTGATATTTAAATGTTACAGTCATGTGGAATCTTTGGCATTTGTTGCTCCTGTTGTGTTTTTAGTGCCGCAGTGAGTGATGCAAGCGGAACTCCAATAATCCAATTCTTGGGTAACAGAATATTGTTGCCATGCTTTGATCAGATTATGGTATTGTGTTAAGATGGAGTGCCCATGATCTGTATAAATAATGCATGCAGCAAGGAAAGCATCCTGATAGTGG